CCCCCCCCCCCCCCCCCCGCAAGAACATCCCGAATGTATGTAGCTCACATATATCATAGCTAAAGTGAAAGGTTGTGTGCGCTTCCTTCTTTTCGTCGTTCTTCTTTTGTCGTTGTTCGTGCATTGCGCTTCTGCTTTGCATGCGTTTTTCTCAGGTTTTGCACCTGCACTCACGTATCTATCGTTTTTTGCAGACTCAGACTGCTTGGAAATCCCCATGCCACACATGTCCTCATTACTCTCTTGTATCATGTCTGACGGAATGCTATGTACGTTTGCTGCTTCGCACGGTCTACTTCGCTCATTGTGTCACATGTCATATAATTTGTCTTCTTGCTTGGCAGGCTATACTTTGCATCCCCCAATTTCATCTCCCTGTTCTCTTATTGTATCATAATGCACGTCATTTCATGTAGGCTCCTCTGTTGCTCCAGCTGTGTTCTGGATGATGCTGTTACTTTTTCTGCTCTGTTGCAGTCTTTCCTCTTGACGCAAAAGGTAATCCGCATCTTGGGACCATTGGCTGAAAAGGCCGGCGGAACAACCCGCAGGGTGTAAATAGAAAGGATGTAAGCTCATACAGACGACAGGAACCTATGATTATCACCAAAGGAAAAGGAACATGTATTGATGACAAGTGCGTAATCTAAGTTTGTTGTGTTGTATTGAATAGGTTCGTCAGATGTATGGTCTTAGTGCAGGCGCTCAAACAGACACTTGGACCATCGGCGAACATTTGTTAAGTGCTTTGTAGTCAACGGAAAATGCCCTTGGCTTGGATATTGGACTTGTTTGTAACTTTGTGCCAAAATATTGCGATTGCATGTGCAAATCTGCTTGTTTGACACTGCGTTTCTTGTATCGTTCGTGTACATCCACTGCTGAAATGTAGTTTTTCTGCTTAATTTCGAAAAGCGTCCTCTTTGCAGGTCAATACTTTGCAAAAGCAATGCTGCACTTGCGTGTCCAAAGTGTATCTTCCCTGGTGCCAGAACTCAAGGTATGGTCATTGTACCTTTCGTGTATGAAGCATGCGTTCGCCTTTAACTGCACTTTCTGTCTGGTTTGGTGATAGTATATTATTGTTATCGTGCACATATGGTTGTCGATCTAGAGGTCCTAGACAGCATTGTGTATGACGATGACCCGGAACATATCAAAATCTCATTTGGCGAATTTTTTTCTCGAGTTGGCAAAAGTAATCACGAAAGCTAGCACCAGCTAGCTGGAGTTGTCCTTGCTTTAGCAAGTGAGGGGCTGGAATCCTCGGGATCGCCGAATCACGTGAAAACTTCATATGTAGGGCCCCCCCCCCCCGTGGGTTCAACTCCCCCCTCGGACGCCTCTGGGACACCTCTCGGGCATCTCTTATGGCATCCACTTTGGCTTAACTCCTCCGGGATACGGTGCAACAGATTCAACAAGCTCACACGTTCATGACATCGACATCGATAGAAGAAACCAAACAAATCATGCAAGCAGCTTTGTTTTGCCTCTGGGACACCTCTTGGGCACCTCTTATGGCATCCACACTGGTTCAACTCCTCCGTGGAGGTTTTGGGATACGGTGCAACAGATTCAACAAGCTCACAGGTTCGTGAACACATCGGATGCATCGAACAGTGTGGCAAAGTCCAGCCACGCTTCCTTAATTATCGGGGACTTCAATTCTAAGGTTGGCTGTGTCATTGCTGTTTGTGTGTCTTACATGTTCACAACGTTTTACCTCATGAGCATTTGCCTCACTCCGCTTGATGTCCCACCAGTCCGGATGCACCCCTGCTAGCTTTCGTCACCTACCCTCGGCCTCAAGTTATGTTTTGGCGAAAGATCTGGCGAAAGATTAAATATGTACTTTTGTATGAATGTTCATTTGCTTCCTGAACAGCTGGTGGCAGTGACTCAGAAGTTAGATGAGCTGTGGAAGTTAGATAACCTGCTGCTGCTGCGGCTACTACTACTACTACTACTACTACTACTACTACTATTCCTGCTCCTGCTCCTGCTCCTGCTCCTGCTCCTGCTTTGGGGGGGTGGCTTTGCCACAAAACTCTACCCCACAAAAGGCGAGAGTTTGGCGAAAGTTCAGCTCAAGATTGGCGAAAGTTCACCCTGCCACATCTGACCCCCAGCCCATTATGAGAAAGTTTGAGTGACCGGCTACTACAGTGATTCTTGCAATTTTGATTCTTGCTGACACCCAGGAGAAACAAGAGAGACGTACAGGGTGTCAACAGTTAAGTAGAAGGCACATGCTGACAAACAGTGAAGTTTCTTCGTGTTTGCCAGTAAAGAAGAAGCCATTGACGTGAACAAAGCACAACATACATGGCACACATAAATACAACATACTTCGGCGAAAGATAAAACGCAGGAAGGCGAAATTTTGGCTAAAGTAATTTTTTTTGGCGAAATTGACGGATCCCGGATAAAGGAATTTAGATCAACTCCCATATATATATATATATATTTTTTTTTCTGTTCATTATTTGTCAGAAATGAGCTTGCACGCGTATGCCAAAAGTATACATATATATATATATACACTCGCACACACACACACACACTTCTCTTTGGTGCGAATCTTTTGTTGTGCTGTATAGAAATGGTTCTCCAGACGTATGCATCATGCGCAGACACTTGAGCACTTGAACATACAATGCGGCCATCGGTAAACATTCCTTAAGTGCGTCGTGGTTTATGGAAGATACACTTAGCTTGGATATTGATATCGTTTGTGTTGTATAAGCTATTGGAACGCATTTCATCTCGTGTGTTTTTTACAGACCTTTCCTCGATGATCGATATGTGGAAGAACAACGCAACGAACAACGCGCGCAAAAAATTGCCCCAGATGTTGGTGGATGCTTTGCTATTGGGGTTGTCAGCTGGGTTAATTTTTGTGTGTGATGTTCTTAACATCTTGGATTTGCTTAACATGTTTAAAATAATTCGGTTTAGCAGGGAGGAAAGATGAACCCCTCTCTTTAGATTGTACAACCTCTTCATGAAGGGGTTGTATTTATCTTCTGAGTCGACATGATCAGATTTGGCTGAGAAAGGGGTGATGGGGCTGCCCATTGCTTCTTTTGGATCCCTTTGGACGGGTTGTTGAGGTTCACCTATATCATCTGGATGCAGCGCATGAAGAGACTGGGCAAGCAAGACTAGCCGGCCGAGACTGCGCAAGACTGGCGATGGCCCCGGGCACGCGGAGACCGGGAAGCGATGGACTGGGCCGGCATGGACGTTGTCAAGTTGGGTTGTTTGTACTTTGTCTCAATTTCTGCAGATTTCTCCCGAAAGCTTGCCATTCCTCATCGAATTTCACAACCCCCTGCCTGATGCAGGCTTGCCAGTGTGTTTGAGACACCCCGAGAAGTTCTAACGTTGTCGACAAACATCCTGCAACGGTTTTGACAAACGATGCTTGCGATGAGGTTAGTTGACCAATTTCCGGTTCATCAATCCGTGTTGGAGAAAACCTGGAACGTTTGGATGCTTTGGTTTCCGCGTTTCCTTGGACCTTCTTGGACCTTGTGGCTTGGGTCCACACCACGGATTTTCCCGGTCTCAGTGATACGTTCGCCGCTGATTGAGGATGGTTCATCAGCGCAAGTTGGAGGCTGCTCGCGAACTGCTGCTGGGCTGGAAACCAGAGGGTCATGGCCCAGCCAGATCTGCCAGACGGGTGGGTGAAACTGGACCTTTTTGCAGGGTTCAGACATGGACCACCACTCGCCAAGTTGCACCCTCATATTATGAACCCTGAGACGGGGTTCTTCAAACAGATCATCAACGAGATGAGAAATGCAATTACACGCCCGTTTCCCCTAACTTTCAAGTTAATGAGTTGATGATGGCAATTTTGTATGCTGAAACCCTCAAAAAGAAAAATGAAAACTACAGCCGACTTTTTCTTCACTTAGTTCCACCTTGATTGGGGATACCGGGGGGTTACAGAACTACCAGTTGGTTAGGTCATTGCTGTTTTTATTTGAAGAAGCCCTTTGGATAGGCCAACTTGTTGCCTAAGAATTCATGAGAACACTTTGAGTTTGCATTAAAACAGCTTTGTCAGTCCCTCCGAAGCGGACAGTTCGGTGAGTGTGAGCCTGGCTTGCGAACTTCAACACGAACTTCAACAGGTCCGCCCCGAGCTGGTGCCCCACATAGCTGCTGATCGGGCACGAGAGCAGTCGTGCAAATTCCCGCAACATCCCACACCGAAACACGATCCTGGAGTAAACGACCTGTTTTCTGCAATTAGTTTAAGCATGTTTAAGCAACATTGACAGTTTAGATGTCCCGTATGGTTTTTAGAATTTCGCGCATGGACTCTGACACTGTTCGTTTTGGCAGTGTTTGTAGGGCTTGCACACATGGACATTGAAGGACATATTGCATATCCTATATAACAGTATATGTACTGTATATGGGCGCTGCGCGTTTTTCGGGCTCCGAGCACAGTAGTATGTCAAGAGCTTATGTTAATATAGGTTGTGAGTATATATCATCTATTATAGTATTTATTGGACATTCACATATATAGAATATGCATATTTTTTGATTGCCTTAAATTTTGTCTAGGCATTTCCAGGTATCTAACTACTTGATTGTTTTGCAGTGCAAACTTACTCAATATATTTGCATCTTAATAGTGTTAATTGCATGAAGCCTTTCACTATCCCTCGCAACATATCACATCTTTTCTTTACAAGATGAAGGGTTTCCTCAAAATAAAGTATATACAGCCTTCCTTTGAATGAAGGGGACACATGTTTCTGTTATATATAGCATGATTTTAGCTCTTGTCTTCATTTTATAGATATTAAACGCAACAATGAAGTCCTCCCTGCTTGCAAAGACGCATTTGTCATTCATTTGCAGCTATCCTTTGGAGAAAAGTTCAACAAGCAATACCCCTAGAAATTATGGAGGAACCCTCCAAAAGATGCAGCATTCCTTTTGATAAAAGGGCACATAAGGGCACTATTCTTTCACACGATATAGTGTCCCTTCAAATAGGCAATGTTCCTGTACCATATGTAGTGTCCTTTCCAATTTGCAGCCATTGTTTCCATACGCAGAATTAATTTAAAGACACGTGCAGTGCATTAACGCAATATTCATTGAAATTGGATGACTATTTTGCTTACACGTAGCAATTATTCTATAAGCCTAGTATATTATTTTCAAGAAGTCATGCTCCAACAAAAACATGATATACATGTCTGCATATTAATGCACTCGTTTCAAACAGAAATTGCATGAAATTGCAGTCTTTCAAACGGAATCCAAGTCAGGCCATACATTCTTTATGGAATTTCACGTTCTTTAGAAAATACGACTTGGATTCACAGATATTGGTGGATTATATGTGAAACAACTGCCGAACCCATGTCCTAAGTGCACTGTTGCTTGCTTTATTTTGCTTTAATTGCAGCTGTATATATCTTTTTCTTAACGTGCCAAATCCTTGAGAACACTAAATGTGCCCGAGTCATGAAGTAGTATAGTTTGCTATGATTCAGGATTAATAAGTCAAGCCAAAGTAGCGCAACAAATTTATAAACTTCACCCCTGAGTTCAAAAGCTTTACTTGCTCACAACTCTTTGATAGGGGAGGGGGGGGTGCTTACAACTCTTTGGTAATAGAGGGGGAGGTGCTCACAACTCTTTCCTTTAGTCATCTCACCTCTTGTTCAAGAAGACTTCACAGTACCCCCCCTACCCTACTACCAAGACTTCACAATAGCGCACCCCCCTTTGATAGAGTGCTGACTTTGATGACATAGATGCAAAGGATAAGTAATAGCTGTATAGAAGTAATAGCTGTGCTGTACATTAAGATGATATACGGTTACATGGGCTCAGTGCGGTTTTTACTTTTAAAATAGTTTCCACTTCTCATGGGGCCTGGAAAACGCACCGAACCCACATATGTATATATATTTACACACCGAACCCATATATATATATAGATACATACATAATGTATTATACAGTATATTGATCACAACAATATACACACATAATGTATTATACAGTATATTGATCACAACAATGATATAGATATCTCTACATACCGGGGTGTGACAAGGTGTCTGCTTGTTCTTGGAAGTCCCATATTGATTTCCAAGATGCTCAGGCCCGCGGTCGACGCAGTCCTGCAGCCCCCCAAAATCGATGTAACGCTTCGCCACATCAGTTCGGCCCGAGTTCCACGCCGCTGGAAAGAAGCGTCTTGTCTCGCGCCGAACGCAAAGGCTTTGGTTTTGGGAGCCCCCGACCAGGGCCTCCACGGGCCCTGGTACCGAGGTACGGACTCTCTCCCACGGACGAGGTTCCGGAGGTGTCACCCGTCACGGGCCGGGGGAGAACCCGTCGGACGGCGAAACACCTCGTTCAGGGCGGGAGGCCGATCGTCTTTAGAACGACTGGGAGAGTGGGTGGCATCTCCGTTCGTGGATTCCTTTTGGATCTGGATGTTTCAATATGTTTCAATATGTTTCAACATGTTTCTTTTGGTCAATATGTTTCATCTCCTTTGTTTCCTCCAGGACGAAAAAGCATGTTTCATGTTTCGTCTCCGCCATGCTTTTGGCTTTTCGTGGAGGAAGACGTCCCTCGGGACGGACGTCTGCGCTGTCGCCAGGACGACCTGAAGGCACGCGCCAACGGCCCCTTGGACTGGGTCACCCTTCGGGTTTCGTTGGCTCCCAGTGACAGGTGGGTGGGTGGGTGGGTCAGTGACACTGGGTGACAGGTCACGTTCCCATGTTTTTCATAATTGTGACCCTGCTGCACTCGCCTTTTGTATAAATCCTTCTCAGAGACAATGAAATGGATCTCCACCATCCGGAGTGCTGCAAACGGGCGTTGCTCGGCACGGGGTATAGACCCGTTTTGGGGGCCCCATGTTGCAGGAGGGGAGTTTGGGCCCCACTCCGCGTCCGTCCACACTCCGAGGCAATGGCAATGTGAAGGGCGGTGCTGTCAACTGCAACGATTACGGACTGGGCTATGGTGAGGAGGCTTACGTTGCGTTTCTTCTGCTTGGTTCAGTGCAACAGAGCGGGCGAAACGGTGTAGGGCGTTAGGGCGTTGTCAGGATCGTTCTCGAGTGGATCGACCACCTGTGGGGTCTGAAGGGTAGAAGTGAGCAACAAGTGGGCATGCTCATGACTCATTACCAATCTCAATTGTGACAATCTGTGGATGGCCTCTCCCACTGATAGGCCTGGGCAAGCAGCACTAGCACTAACTGAAGAATCCTCGCCATGTACTTTATCAGGTCACCGAGCCGGCGCTCGCTGCCCCTCCGGCTGAAAAACGGGTCACGGAGTCGATGATGTGAGGCAGTGAGTCGACCGGCCGCATCTTTCTGTCGCTGCAAGGCCGAGAGTGAAGAGAAGATGGTAGAAGTGGTTGCTGAGACGATGGTGACCCTGGGCAGCTTGGTCAGGAAGATGCAGATGGAGAGGGGGCAAGGTGGGGGGCAACTCCAAACCAGATGTGGGGATTTCAGTGATCCAACTGCTGTGCCGCACCACGGACTTTCCAGAAAAGAAACAACTATACATGGCTGCGACTCACAAGCAGGTCCTCTTGGGCCTGAGAAAGAGCACCTACTGGCTGGTATGTTCTTCTTTTCTGCTCGTCGATGCATTCTACGAACGAGAGTTGACTGTGTTCCCTGTTGGTTTTTGGCTTCAACTCTCCACGTTTCCTTCCTATGACTTTGACCCTCTGTCCACTGCAAGGTGGGTCAGATTCGCTTGGACAGCAGGAGGAATGTCCACTACTCACCCAAAGTTTCACGTCCCTTGGATTCTGCCCACCCCTCATCTCCTCATGGCCCAAACAACAACTTCCTCCGACCCTGCACCAAGCCCCTCCATGCAAGTCCAAGGCATGAGCACTCACACAGACCGCTTGCTTCGTTTGATGGTGGAGAATGGCGTCACGAACACCGCGGTCTTGGAGCGTCTCAACGCGGAGCGCCGGGGTGCCGGTGGACACCGGTTGGGCCGGTGCAGCAGGGCGCCAAATGGTCGAAGAATCGATGATGCTTCTGGGGCATGCACTCTTCTCGTGTCCGTTCCAGGCCTCTTCCTGGAAAGGGTTGCGAAAACAAAGACAACACCTGCGAAAAGACCCAGTTGCTAGTGAAGAACATGCAGTAATTATATATGCCACAAACATCCACAAACAACAACGACAACAACAACAACAACATCATCAACAACAACAACAACAAGGAAGCGACTATTACTGGCGCCCCGTGCCCATGCTCATTCTCTACTTAATTCAATAGACCTTTACACACGACCCCTTGTTGATCCAGACCCCCCCCCTTAAGCCAACACAACTACCAACGGGTCGTCTGTAAAGGCCTCTTCTAGGAGGGGATGAACATACATCAACCGAACACAACGTTAAGTCAATTCATCCTTTCCCTTCAGGCAGCCAAGCTTGGATCATATTTTTCCACACATTCAAGCTGCAGTCTTCGGGATCAACACATCATAGTGGTAGCCTTCAAGGCCCATTCCAGTCCAATTGAAAAGATGGAAATCCAATGGGTTCACATTCGCTTCACCCTGGTCTTTTGCCACCACAAGCCAATCTGGCGGGCACATATTTGTGTCATACCGGCTGTGCACAGTGAGGCGGACACCAGCTCTTGGAAGTTTCTTCACTGCATCACACTTTTTGCACAAATGGAGAATGGTTGGTTCAGCGTGCCTGTGATGTTGCAAGTAGCCATACGGGTCGTCACTTCCATTTGGTGTCTTGGGCATGGTCTTGTCATCCGCAAGCAACCTTTCACGGTTCTTCATGCACAAATCCTTTCTTTCAGCCAACCTCAGCGGCGGTAAAATGCTAGATAAGCAAAGCAATTGACACACTGCAAAGACTTTTTTTTGTGTTTGCCAAAGTCCAGAACATACCCAGATTCACCGACAGGCATCTCTGCCAAAAATTGGCTTTTCTCAGCGTCTGTGAGGGGTCGCAAAGTATGTTGCGGGTTACTAAATCGATGGCGAGGGCCGTCTTGCTTAATCTGTTGACATGTTTTACAGTACCGCGCTCTGGAGCTCAGTTTTTTCTTTGGTACCGCTTTGCCTACTGCAACTTTCTTCACTGGTTTTGAGGGCCGCGACACATGTGCAGAAGGCCTCTTCATTCGGCACAAGCATGGAAAAAGACACCCATACTGCGCGCTACATTGAGTCAGAAACTTGCAGGAGATGTGGCGACATCTTTAGTGCCTTTCATCCTGGTCCTGACACCTAAGGGCACCATCCACTGGTTGTCTCATTCCGCTCGCTGGCAGGAGCGTTGCCAGGAGCTGAACCTTCCCTGGGCGCTGATTGACGCAGCCCAGCGCCGCTGGATCAATGAGAAGATGAACATGGGTCAGGAGCAAGTTCTGCACAGGGTGGTGGAGAGATGCGGAGGCTACTAGGAGCAAGGACGCTACTAGTAGCTCCTGGTATTACCACTAGTAGCAAGGTTCGCAACTAGGAGCGGCATCGCTACTAGTATCAAAGGGCATCACTAGTAACAAGAAGCTACACATCTAGAAGGCTTTTTTGGAAGACAAGGGCAGGCAGGCGGCCAGTCGATGGGTGTGTGCAACCTTCGTCTGTCGATGGGGTTCGCATCCAAGAGGAGAGATGCACGTTTCAAAGGTGACCGTTGGAGTACGAGACATTGACCATCATTGACCTCCCAAATCATTGACGCGCTCAGGCGCGCAACAAGCGGTATGTTTCATCAGGGTGTTTCTTCCTCTCTTCGCTTGATGAATTCAGGGGGCAACCACCAGATTCGACCAGGACTATGGCGGAGCAATTGAGAAGGAAGATCCATTCAAGAAGCTGCTTGAGGTGCCATCCGAGTTGCGTTGGAGCAGGGGGGATGACCTGGGTGAAACTGGGAGGTGGAGAGAGTGAGCGGAGTGAGCTGGTCTCCAGTTCTTCTCCTTTGAGGAAGTGATCAAAAGCCCTGTTCAAGGGTGGACGAGCACCTAATTGTTTTTAAGATAGTGGTTTTAGGCCTTGCAAAATCATTTCAGCCGGAAAGCAGACAGATTGGAGCCTCCTCCTGGACTGCCGAGTCGTGTGACAGCTGGAGGGGACTGAGGATTTCACCCAGTGCACCTGAGATGGAGGTGGATGAGTACCCCTCTTCCTGGATGCACGGTTCACATCGTGAGACAGGGGATGGTCGTTCAGTCAACTGGAAGGTGGTTGTGTGTGTGAAGTCCTTGGAGTCACAGGGAACCGTTCGGTGAACCACCCTAAGTGCAGGGGAGCGGTGCGCAGTCTTGGAGTCACCACTCAACGAAGACGCTCCTTGCACTGCGGTGATATCCGGAGGGGACGCCTTCTGGAGTTGCATCCAAATCCAACCTTCAGGCTGCTTAGGTGGAGGTAGGTCGGCAGACTCTGCACGTTTCGCCGTCCTTGTCGACCGCTCGACTCTCGCTTTGCCACTGGTGGTTTCTCGGAAGTCTCTCTCGGCGGTTTTATAGAGGTCCCATGGTCTCGTCCAGAAGTTCGGACCCGCACCCGAAAGGACTCACACCCATGAAGCCCGTTTCTTGAGCACTTTGAGAAGCCGACACGAAAGAAGTCTAACATCAGCTAGTTGCTCTTGCTTTAGCAAGTTTTGGTTCCCTCCCCTCCACGGGTTCAACTCCTCCCCGGACGTGCCAGTTTTGGGGACATAAAAGCTTTCATTATCTCGACGCTTCCCCCAATCTGATAGCATCCATTTTGACCTTCAACATCCTCTCGCACTGCCCCACATTGCGATCGCATCCGTTTTTGCACCCTACTGTTTCACACCATGTCGACGCCCACGCAGCTCTCATAACTTCCGTCTTGGCACCTTTATGCTTCACATCATACCGGCACACGCACGCAGTTGCTCACATGTGTCTTCGGACCATTATGTTTCACATCATGCCGTGCATCCACACCTCTCAGTTGCATCCGTGTTAAGGCCATGTGATTCGATGCGACATTGCTTTTGAGCTTGGGATAAATTGGCCCGCACATCACACTTGCATGTGAAAAAGACACCAACCCCCTAGCTTTCGCCACCTCCAACGACCTCAAGTCACCTCCCAACGACCCGTCTTCCCGGGCGCTGGTCGACCTCGAGGCCAACCGCCAGCGCATGACGGATAAGTCGGTGCAGCAAGCCTTACCTGGAATGTGACCTGGATTCCAAGTATATACTTGTAGCGGGTTTGTGCGCACAGAAGTTGACCCCCGATTTGTTCGATCGCACCACATGGATCCACATGGGGGATCTTTGGGATTTCTCGCTTTTGTTTTTTTGTTTTTGCCCGAAGATCCATCGGATGATTCCGACTTGTGTGTAGGATTTCGAGTCGTTGAACACTCAGTCATATGAGTTGGAAATCGACAGCTACACCAGAACATCTACGTAGCACACTTCGACCCGTTTGGGACGGTGTTCGCTCCGTTTTCCGCTGCTTCCACGGTCCGGGGGTTTCTCGATCCGATTCCCCCCCGCGCCGGGTTTCGCTTTCGAGGATTGGGGTCAGCCCTGGAGTCGGAGGAATGAGCACGCCTCCACTGGCCGGGCCGCTGGGGCGAAATTGAGGTGGAGGAACGCTTTCCACGGGAAGAGGAGGTCGACGGCATTCTTCGGTCTCAAAAGGAGGAGAGTTCCTGGAATGGAGCCACCTCTGAGTGGAGGAAGAACACTTTCCCCACTCGCACTAGGGGATGTCCAGAAACCTATCAGGTCAACTATGATGGGCCCTGGTCCATTCAGTTCTTCCCATATATGGGGTGCTCTTTTTTGAATGGGCAAGGGACACCCGAAGCATTTATGGGGAACATGACTTTCGGCGCATTTTCTTCGTCCAACCCCCCACAATCCCCGACCATTTCACCACGGCCGGTAGGTGGACCGGATGGTGCCTTCCATTCCTTCCCAAGGGCTCCAGGCGGCTCCAGGCGGCTCCAGGCGCCGCGGGCTGGAGCCGTGGGGTCCACCGTCTGAAGGGCGACGTCCACCCACACTGCTCAGGATGGCGGGCATGAACCTGGGTGCCATGGAGGATCAACTGGGCGCAGCTCGGACAGAGGACCACCGCCAGACTCGGTCTAGGCGGGCGAGGGACGGGGCCGGTGAAGTGTTGGGGAAGAGCGGTGGGATGATGTGGGATGCCCAAGGGTTCGCTGAAAGAGGTCGGGGTTGTAGACTTTTTGATACACCAGTGAAGGGACATCCTAGAAGTGCATACCCCTCTGCCAACCAGTTCCAAGATTGGACACGTAGATGTTCGTGTCCAGTCAGGGGTCCACCCTTCATTGTGAGGAAACAACAATTGACAATCTATGATTGAGAATCTATGATTGATGTTTGATCCATCCCAATCACTTTCCCCAGGGGCTTCAAAAACGCCACGAACGCCCAGCCCGCCCTCCATCGCTTTCTCCAAACCATTCCAAACCCCCAAGAAGGGGCGGTCTCTGAGGCCATCCTCCAACGTGCCATGATGCCGTTCCAGGCGCGAAGAAACACAGGGCGCCACTCTTTTCGTGGGTTTTAACGAACGGGATGTAATAATGTGGGGCGTCAGTTTGGGGACGGAAGAAGAAGAAGAAGAAGAAGAAGAAGAAGAAGAAGAAGAAGAAGA